TGAATGGCGACTTGCATCCCCTCTTTAGTGAAGGTTCTGGCAAGGTCCCTTTGTTGCTCAGGCAGGGGAGTGACGATATTATTCAGCCTCTGCATAATAAAGAATTGATACCTAGCGAGGGTGGCTTCATAGTTGGACATCCGAAGCCCGAGTCCTGCAGCCACATAGATGCTGTGCGCCAGGGTATCAATCTTGCGCCCCTCCTTATCTCTGGGGGTGGTATGGCCTCTACCTTCCCTTCCCTGAGATGATTCGACCACCACAGAGTTTGGCTTAGGGTGGTAAAGCAGAAAGGGGATGTCGCTCTCTCGGACCCGATACATGGACTCGTACCTTCTCACTGTAGGTTGAGTTTGAGAAGGCAAGTCCCATGCTTGCGCCATCGCCTGCCGCAGAGTTGTAATAAGCGGCAAGACGATTGCTGGTGATTGTTTTCCCCGAACAATGTCGTAGAACTTGTCGGTGCTCAGATCTGGCTGATGTTGCGCCTCGATCTCGAGCAACCGAACAAGTCTAGACATAAGCTCCCCGAATAAAATGTGGGGTTCTTCAGGCGATGACAGGCCTTGAGATGTAATCATGCCATCTGGGGAGGTAGAGTCGGCATCCGAGCCTGAGTCAGGTCCGGGATGGTATGGTTCCGATGAGGAGGTCCCTGGAGAAGTGGGACAATTGGGTTCAACATGCCGGGAAGTAGACGGCAGGTCCTCATGAACAGAGGGTGAAGAACGATCCCATGGGTGAGGATGAAATCCAAAAGAATGGTAGTCCTCTCAACCCCTCGGGTAGTCATACTAGGGTTGGAACCATCCTTCTTCCCAAGGTGGTGGTGATGGAGATCGGTCTCTAGCTCTCGCCGTAGGCATAGGAGTCGGGGACCGGGCCCTCAGAGAATCCTGAATCTCTCCATCGGACATCAACTCACAATGCTGCTCTTCAGGCAGTGGGATAGGCATGCCCTGTTGAGGTGCAGATTGCATCGCTGCCTGAAGCATCGGTACCAATGGCGTTGGTACCGAAGCTCCGTCAGGATTGATGGGGCTGTTGAACCCGAATCCCAATGCCTCTTCTTATGAGGCAGTTTTGCCGCCTTATCTTTCTTTGCCTTTTTGTGAGCCGAAGATTGATCCGATCCCCCGTGCTTCCTCTTTTCCCGTTGTTTATGAGGGGGGTAAAGAGGTAACTGAGCCCCTGGGGGGGGGGGGAATTTCCACTGTCGGATGGTTGCGGCTGCAGCATAGGCGGCGTGGGCGAAGGGCGTTGCCCGGACATGCCCGCGGCAGAGGCTGGGCGTTGAACTGGCTCAGACAAGGCTGAGGCCTTGCGCTTAGCAGATGGAGCATGCGCTGGCCCGGGTTTTCCTGCAGGCTGATCGGATTGCATCAGCGCTTGATCCCAAAGGAGTTTGCGCAGCCGGTTCTCCCTATTCTTTCGCACTTGCTTAGTGAAAGCAAGGCAATGACGGCATTTATCAGTCCTGTGCCCCTTGCCGAGGCAGAGGAAGCACAAGTCATGTGGGTCCGCCGGAGACATTTTGGACCCACATTCCACACATTTGCAGAAGGCTGCTCGCTGCGCCATCGCAGAAAAAGAAGAAACAGAATGTAGAAAGAGGGAAACGCAATATATTTTTGGGTTTAGTTTTTTTTTTATATGAACAAGTAAAGAGAAAAAGAAGATATAAACTGGAATGAGGGAATAATAACTTGGAATAAGAGTAAGATAAACAGTAAGTAATGAACAATACTGAGTCAAGCGAGAGACGAACAGGCACGAGGCACAGCGAACGGCGGTCGCAAAAAACTGGAGAAAATGGCAGATACTCCGCTCTATATATACTACTGAGGGGAGGGGTAGCAGAATTTTTCCCGCCAAAACCGTTAGCTTTCAATCTTTCTGGCCTAGGTACTGCGCAGGCGCAGCACCCCCCCCCCATATGTGTGATGCACAGAGGCCACGATGAAGAAATATAGGATCTGCAAGGATTAGAAAGAAAATTTGCATATTTAGTGGCTCTAGGGCACAGCCCAGAAAAAAAAAATCAAGTATTCTTAAATCCCATTGAAATTATTAGGTTTATACACTTAAGGTTGCAAACCTATCACAATTGTATGCTAGTAAATTCCAATGGGCAAAATAGGATTTATATACTACCTTCCAATGAGTTATCAAACAAGTTTACAGAAATGATACACAAAATCTAATGATAAAAGCACAATAGAATAAATACTAGTCAAGTGTAACCATACAGAATGGGTCACCCTTCTGGGAAAGTCAGCATGAAGATGCCACTTTTGCACAGACATCTAAAGTTCACTGGATGTGAATGTGAATAAGGAATGCCTTCCAGACAGTGAAGCGTTAAATGCTACAACACCTGCTGTATTACAGGTACTCCTGAGGCAAACTGTTATGAGTTACACTCATGTTAGCATTCATTTATGACCAATAATTTCAGTAGAACAGAATTATGACCACAGAACCACAGGATGTTGATATATATCTAGGGAGACATTGGCCTATGTACTATATTATCTACAGTACACTGTTCAGAAATGACTGTTCAGGCCCAGCTCTACCTAGAGATGCCAAAGATTCTGTCTAGGATCTCCTGAATATAAAGCATTCTACCAGCAAGCTGTAGTCCTGAACTATGTCTATCACTATTTGTACTATACCTATTGCAGAGATGTCCTAATTGCCTAAACTTAGCATGATATTGCAGAATGCAATGGATTTTTTTTACTCCCCAATTAATTTCTCTTCTCCATAGATGAAGCTAGTCAGCTAACTATGGGAAAGGCTTAGCGTCCCAGGCCAGGAAAAAAGACCTGGATCTGATCTGCTTAGGGGAGATAGGACATCTCCAGGAATTCCAGTTGACTCTTCCAAGGAATTGGATCTGCTAGGGAGGTTCTCTTAATGAAGATGACCCATCGTGCTTTGTGAGGTGATCAGTCTGTGGAGGAAGAGAACCCTGCCTAGCAAGACTATCATCCAGAAGGAGGTCGGCCCAAAGGCAGCCTCTTCGTGGAGAAAAGAAGGCAGCAAAGAACCTCCATTTGTCCCTCAAGCGCAAGAAAACAGCTAGCTATGGAGAGGTGATTAGTGTAACAACGAGCTGTTCCAGAGTCTTCCCGAGCAGCTCCGCAGGCAGAAGACCGGGGAAGGCTTGGGGGATTTGGTTCTGGCTAGCAATGCATGAGGAAACTGGTTTAGTGAAGACATCCATTCAATTTCCTCTGCTCGGCTGCCCAGACTCCAGCCTGCTTTCTCTCTGCCCTAAGTCCACCTCAAACTCAGCATTTGTGTGGATCTCTGGCAGGTAGTGAGTCTGCAAAGCCAGCTTGCACACAAACTGCCTGTTGCCTGAGTACACGCTATACAAGCAGAGTACTGCTTCCCTATGTGTGACTTGCAGTTTTACATATTTTTGCAGAGAGGAGTCCACTGGTGTTTCTGAGCATTCACAGACTTGATACCAACTTTGCTTGCCTCCTGATGAGGACTGAGTGCAGGAAAGAAGTCCACAGAGTACAAGAGAGCTAGTTTCCAGCCAGATCTTCATATCCCAATTTCCAGCAGACCCAGGGTGAACCTTCTGCTTGACCAACTAGGAGGGAAAGGCAACAAGGGAAACTGTTGTTCCTGGGGAAGGCCCTGGCTCCTCCAGGAAGATCAGATCTACTCTGTGTTCCTGAACCAGAAAGCAGGACATTATCCATAACTAGCTGGCCTCCTGCATTTGGAGGAAAAAACAGATAAGGCTCTGAGTAGTTAATTTCAGGCTAGAACTACAGGGAGCCAGATTCAAATCCATGCTCAGCCATGAAGCTCATGAGTGGATTGCACGAGTCAAATTTCAAATGAAAGGTCACAAATTTCTTGTTAGAATAAAATTGGGAAAGCTGAAGAGAACCATACACACCACCTTGAGCTCCTTTAAGTAAAGCAGAGGTGGGGTGAGGAGGGGGTATGATTGAAATGAACTGTTGCAGTGAAATTTTGCATTTACACATCCAATTCTAAATACTGTACAGATTTTCCATGTAACAAAATGCAACAAAATCACTTGACACTGACTTCAAATGCCAAAACTAACATTACTTTCACATAGAAATATGCACATATAGGACTGAGATGTGTTAAACTGTCCTACCATATTACCTGTGTAATACAAAAATTTCTTAAATTTGACCAGATTAAAAATTTAGAATTCAAAGAGAGAGGTTTGGGGGGTTTTTTCAGGGTTTTTCAGTGTACTATAAATTACAAAAGCCATTTGTGAACATATGCATTAGTAAAAATAGATTCTGCCTTAGTAAATTCTGTAAACATTTGAAGAGTTGTACAACATTATCCACACACACACACACACACACACAAAAATCCCCCCACCTCAGGAAGCCATGTATAAGGAAAAGCCTTCTAGTGCAAATGTGTGACCTTCCTAAGGATTCCTTTATAGAATTCACTTAAAATAAATAAACAAAATCCTCAATTTCAGTTTCTTTCTTTTTTATTTAAGATACCTTAATCCTGTGTTTAGTAAGAGGTTTTCAGGGATGTACAATTTTTTTAAAAAAACTATTCATGCTATTAAAGCTTTGAGAAAAGCAAATTGCTTTAAAAACAGTCAAATGGGTAAAAGTGGCCAGGAAAATGCTAAAGTACCAAGCTATCTTGTTGTTTAAATAGCCTTGTAAGAGAAGCTTCCAAAAATCATGCATGCACCCAAATCTTTGGTTTGAAGAGTCTATAGTATAGAAAAGGCTAAGGGAAATTAACATCCCAGGTCTACTCAATTTGGGACAGAACTAGCATTAATATTCTTGTGTAAGACATTTTAACATTATCAGAGCAGCTTTTCCCAACCTGGTATCCTACAGATGCGTTAGATTACAACTGAATGAATGCCACATTCTGCAAGTAATAGTCCAACAGAGCAGAAAGTCATCTGATTGGGGAAGGCTGGATTAGACTTAAAACACTGTCCATACCTTTACATTTCTCCACTGCCAATTGTCTCCAATTTGTTCTGAGTGCTTGATAAATTCTGCACAATACTGCTTGAATTTATTTTCTTCCAAAAAGAAACCTTCTCCATCCAAGTTAAGCGACATCTATCAAGAAAACAATGTGTCAGTACGAACAGAAGCTCTGAACTCAAGGGAAGGGGAAGGGAAGGGAAGGGCAAAAAAGCAAGACAAGTGGCCAGCAGACTGTAGAACCAGGTTCATGCCTAATCCTTTGGCTTTAGACAGACTGCCAGTTTAAAAACAATTAAAGGTGTTTGTTGTAAATTGCTACTTCATGCTATAGTAATTCATCCCTGTATACCTTGATTAGCCCTCATGAAAACTCTTTTAAAGGTACAAACCTCTCTGCAGTGGTTAAACACCTGGAATCACAGAATAGTAGGGTTGGAAGGGGTCATGAAGGCATCAACTCCAGCCTCCTGCTATTGCAGGAAACCAATTTACACCATCCCACTCAGATGGCTGTCCGGTTTCTTTTTGAATATCTCTAGTGTGGGAGAGCCCACCACCTCTCCAGGCACTAAGCTCTATTAGTCAGATTTTATTTTTATAGGGAACTAACTGATTATTGTACAGTAAAAGTGCTTCTCTTTTCTTATACTCTAATCTGTAATGCAGTTTGACAGACATTATGCTTGAACAAGCACAGCACTTTGAGGACTGGGATGTTGATATAAATAAGCTTTCTGCTAATTCTGTCTTCCTTTCCAAATGAATTGTGGATCCTGTGAGTAGAACCAAATATTACATCATTCCAGGTTACCAGGAATTAGGAAAACAACATACATTCCAACACACATTGGAATATCTTAGTAATTACTAGGTTTTTCATTGCAGTGATCAGATGCAAAACTGTAATCAACACAGTGCAGGTAAAAATACTGTAGTTTTCACACAGACTTTAAATAGAACCACCTGTTTTTAGAAAATGAACAGATGCAGCCATAACAGAGCAACTGGGACACACAGTATCATCTCCTTCACCATGCACATACCATGAAAATCATTACAAAAATTCATGCAGAACTGAACACTTAGTATGATTATTTGTTTTAGTGTAATTGGGTTTATCATAAGAACTTAGTTGGGTCATTTATATTGCAAGACTATCATCTTCCGTTATGCTTTATTTTCAAACTCAGGGACATAGTGCAAGGCTAGGTAAAAACCAGTACAGGGCTGATGAAAGTAGACCTACTAGTAGTTCTTTGGTAAACTGCAATAGATTGGCATGGACTTCAGATTTCTAATTTTTCGACAATAGCTGCGACAAATGACTTTTCCTCTACCACAGACCTCCCCCCCCGTACTATAATATACTTCAAAAATTTAATAAGCTGGGGTAAACTGGAATAGCTATTTATGTGGAAGGACTATGAATTCTACTCCAGGATTACAAGCCTTTCTTTCTAAGAAATAATAAATAAAATGGTACTTGCAGCCTTGAAATCTGTTCAGCATGTTGCATTGAGCCCATCAACCATGTATGGTAACTTGCAAACCATTTAATTCCCATCCTGGTTTGGCTGCCTACATCAGACTGAAAAGGGACTGGAGATAGGGCTCAAGCACCTAGCATATTATTTTATTTGATTTGTTTATTTAAAACATTTGTATGCCACCCAATTGTGCCACAGCACCTCTGGGTGGCTCACAACCACAAGATAAAAACACAATAATTTATTAGTAATAAATCCTGTCAGACTAATGTAATCTCATTTTTTGACTGAATAACCTCTGTGTTAAACTTCTGTGGTACCTAAACTGTGATATGGGACCTTTTAACTTGTGCACTTGATGAACTAGGGTCATGGTGCCCACAAAACGCTCACACACCAGAAAACCATCAGCAACCTGATTCTGATCCTAATCTCTCCTTCCTTCCCTTCTCCTCCTCCTCCTTCCCCTGCCTCTGTGTATGTGAAAGAGAGGGAGAGAGGAAGGGATGAAAACCAATCTACAAGGCATTTTGGAGAGTTTCCTTCTTCCTTTTCTTAATGTCAATTCAGTTTGAATCAACATACAATGAAAGGTCACTTAAGTCAGACATCAGAATTCCGGTAATCATGAGGTTCACTTCTTTGTTTTGTTTTCATTTGACACAGAGTCAATCAAAAACATTGTGGTGTTTGAACATGCAACAAATTAATTTAGAGAGCCTAGACTGCTGTTCTGAATTATAACCTAATACATGTAATTCCTACTGATGTCTTGCTCACAATTTCACATCAATAAAGGGGGGGATTCTATTCACACTCCCTCTTAAGCTGAAACACACAGAAAATTTGGGATAATTGTATAATTAACATGACTGACAAATAAGGAGCAACTTGTATATATAAATTAATTTATGAGAGAAATGTAAGAACACTTAAAATGAACAGTTAATAAGTATCACTGAGAAGATAAATCAATAATAAATCTACAAAAGTTACTGTAAATCCACAACGGTCTCGCCTTCAAAACCTCCAGCCTGCTCCTTCTGTCCCCCTGCAGCCTCTTTCTTTCTTCTTCTGGTCAGTTTGTCCAAATTTTACATTCAGTAGTCACTCCAAGATTCATCCTTCCCATTTGAATAGAATGTCCAGAGGCAGACATTACATATTATGGGACTACAGTCAGCAAGTCATGATATTAGCAAACTTTCCATAAAATGACATAGATAATAATTCATACTCTTGTTCACAAGGACCTATTATATTATAACTATTAGTAACAATACTGCTGCAATCCACCATCATTAGTCATTTAAGGTGCACAACTTTTTCTGGTCTCAAGTGTTTGCTGTAGTGGCAGAGTAGGCAAGCATGCATGCACGCGTGCACATGCATGCACACACACACATCCAAAAGCCACACATCTGGTCATGTAGTAAGATCAACGTATTAAAGCCCCCTCCTTGCCCACACACAGATATGCAGAACAAACAATGCTCTGGAAAAAAGTTCTATGGTTCCTGCCACAGAGCAGGAAACTCCTTCCCCCCAACTCCTGCCACACACAAAAGTTTTCTACCATATTAAAGAAATATAAATCTCTGTGTGAACAAAACTTGCTTTCTCTCCCTCTTCCATCATACATCTGCCACTCATCCTTCAGCATCAATGATTTTACTCATCACTCTTGAGAAAAATTCTTCACTGAATTTTCAATAGTGCTTGCTCTCCTCTATGCTTACTAATTTTATTTTTAATAATACTTTCCACCAATTTACTAGAACAGGCATTAAGCTAACCAGCCAGAAATCCCAGATCCCTCCTGATTCATTTACAATATTTTACTGGCCATTCTCTAGTCAACTAGTACCTTAGCGACATTTCAGATATTTTTGCTAGAATATCAACAATTGCATATATAAGCTTTTTAATAAGAACCCTGGGATGGACACCATCTGGGCCTGGTGATTTATTAACTGTCAATAAGTTTGAGAAATTGATCTTCATCATTTGCCCCAGTTCTTCAAACTCCTTTTCTGAAATTATCAGTTCAAACACAAGTATCTGTCAAATTAAAGGAATGCATTCAGCTTCTCTAATGCCATTATCATCCAATGGTCCATGTGCCCTTTGAGCTGGTTTCTCGCTTCTGAAATATCTGAAGAATTTTTTTACTGGTGGCCCTGAAATGATTAGCAATACACTCTTCAAAATTCTTTTCCTGCCTCTTTTTGCTTGTATCTCCTTTCTCAAGGTTTGTGCTCCTTTTATTTCTCCTGACAAGACTTCCAATTTTGGAAGAAGCCCCTCTGATACCTTCACTGATACTGCCTGTAACCATGCAGGTGATCTCTTATTATTTATTTCTATTTATTAATTATATTTATATACCACCTTTTTTCTTTCAAGGAACTCAAGGCAGCTTACATTCTTCTATTCTCAACTTTATCCTCACAACAACAACTCTGTGAGGTAGGTTGGGTTGAGAGTCTGTGACTTGCCCAAAGTCACCCAGCGAGCTTCATGGCAGAGTGGGGACTAGGACCCAGGTTGCCTGAGTCCCACTCCCGCACTCTTGACCACTAAACCACACTGGCTCTTCGACTTGATGCTGACTTTTCTAAATTGTCATATACTAGCTAAACTTCTATTATTGTAGCTTTGGGTAACGTCCAAACATTCCGAACCCCTTTTGACTCCCCCTTTCAGCTTCTTTCTTTACTACTACCTTTTTTTTTTTTTACTACTTAAAGGTTTCTTTTTTGAAGTCAGCTATGACTGGATCGAACTTGCTTGGCAATTTCCTACCCAAATACACATTAAATCTGATAGCACCATGGTAAATGTTTCTAGTTGGTTCAACAAAACTCACACCTCACATTAGGTCTTGGGCAGTACCATAAGATGAAATATAGAGTAGCCTCTCTTCTGATCGATTCCATAACCAATAATTTTAGGGCACAATAATTCAGTACACTGATAAATTTAACCTTTTTCTCATAATTGGAACATGCATCAATCTAGTAAGTACAGGGGTACTTCAAGTCACCATTATTATGCTTCCTAGTTTGAAATTTCCCTGACTGCCCTTTCTATCACCCTACATGTTCTATTCTGGGAACAATAGCATGTCCCTAGTAATAAGTTATTTGTGGAGCACAATATGACCTCTCAGCAGCTTTCAATACCATCGACCATGGTGTCCTTCTGGGTAGGCTGGCTGAGTTGGAGGTTAGAGGCACTGCTCTGCGGTGGTTCCATTCCTACTTAGCTGACCGATTCCAGAAGGTGGTGCTGGGAGATTGTGGCTCTGTGCCATGACAGCTTTGCCATGGAGTTCTGCAGGGTTCCAGTTTATCTCCCATGCTATTTAACATCTACATGAAATCGCTGGGAGAGGTCTTTCAGAGTTTTGGGCTACAGAGTCATCAGTATGCTGGTGACACCCAGCTCTACCTCTCTTTTACATCGAATCCAGGTGAGGCAGTGGAGGCCCTGAACCAGTGCCTAGCCAGGGTGATGGGCTGGATGATGGCAAATAAATTGAAGCTTAATCCAGACAAGATGGAGGTCCTGGTGGTAGATGGTTTAGCCTCCCGGGTAGGTGTTTCTAACCCTGGATGGGGTTGCACTCCCCCTAAAGGACAG